CTGAAGACTTAATGAATAGTAAGGAGTAACACACAATATGGTAGTTGGGCATGTGGTGACATACCCTCATGGTTGAAAACTAAAAATAGGGCATTGAGACAGGAAAAAAAAACAATGGCTAGAAAAAGCAGTGGAAATAAAAGAAAGAGAAAACGTTTCCTCACTTCATAGTATGAAGATGGGGAGTGAAAAGCTGCCTCTGAGAAAAGATCTAGTGACATGCAGTCATGGGGAACAACCATTATTTCACATAAAGCAAAGAGGAATAGGAAAGGCAAGAGCCTACACTGGGGTTTCTTGGCAAAGAACAGGAATGCCCACACAAATCAGGGAGGGAGTTATAAGAGAACAACAAAGAACAGTGCTGGATTTAGTTGAAAGTAGGATGACTGTACTGGCTGGTGCTGGAGGTGTGGGAATGGGGGAAAGGGTGGAGCTACTGTAAATCTGTCTTCCATGATATACTTACACAAGAGACCATTCCCTAATTGATACCTTTATAAATCTTACTGGAATGAGTTCTCCTCTGTGAAATTTTTTTTACAAAGCTAATTAATCCTAGTCTGATGTTATTCAATGTATACATAGCTGTATCTGTATCTGCAGGGAATACAGTGTTTGGCAGTGTTTGGCAGTCATTGGATGCTCATTGTTCTCCACTAACCAGTTTCCCTGTAAACAGATACACCACATGCTTCATAAGCAGGAAGAAGAAGTAAAATTCCCCTAGGATGTGCAACTTAACAATCACACCCTTCACAAGGAAGTAAGGTTCAGGAAAACCAAGGACGTATTTCCTAACCAACCTATAAAGGCATTAGAAATAGCAGGATAGTTCCCAAAGGTGTATGTTCCTCCTAAGTTTTATTGGGCTTCTGGACTCCTGTCACCAATGATGTTGGTGCATCATTTAGAAAATACGCAAAGACACAAGTTGGCAAGGAATCACATGCAGAAAGTTCTGAAAATGGCTGAGTCTTTTATGACACTGTATGAAATCAGGATATCATAATCCTGTCAATTATAGGAACACTTTTCGGGAACAGAAGACAAGTATGAAATGATTTCTCAATTGAGCCCAAGCTCTCTCTAAATGTAAGCGCACTCTTGGTCCTTATAATTAGTCTCTTGTCCTTAGACTCTACTTCTGTATGACAAGTCTTAGTCACTTAGTCTTAGGAGATTTCAGCCTTAGTCAGAAGTTCCCTTAAAGGCCAATTTATGCCACTTTGTCACCAAATTTCTTCCCTCCACACCCATGCTGAGCATCTTACCTCTGTCTTACGGGGTCAGATCCTTCTCTTTGGAGCCCAAAGAAACTCCTCCTACTCCTGCTTCAGGAACCCTCACTTCTATCTGGTGACAATGGCCTGTGACACCACCTTCACTGAGAAGCTCCTATTCCTCATGTTTGTGATTTTTCGCCGTGGGTCTTTTTCTCATCATTTTCTTCTACCTTTGGACCTATTCCTTCATCAAAGCCCCAACAGTCGGCTTTCTCCCTTACCCCTACCCAGTCTCAACTCGGAGATCTGTTATATAACAATCCCATTCAGGGATTCACCACACACAGAGGGACAGAGGAGACCTAAGAGCAGCATAACCTGGAGGGCAATGGTGGAGGGGAGAGTGGGGACATCTGCCAGAAAAAAAACTTTCAGTTTTAGGAACAAAAATCCCATTCACCCTCTACCTCCTATCTCCACCCTCTGTGCTTCTAGGACCCTGCTGTAGATGAATCTTCCTGTGAATTCATGATGTGCTAAGACAAAAGACCAAGACCCTATCCATGGCAAGTATTAGAAAGGACCCACTATGGAACAAGTGCTAGAGAGGTGTGCTGAAAATCAGAACTCCCACACATAACCCATCATATTGTGGTAGAAGTATAAAATGGCATGGCCACTGGGAAACAGTCTGGAGCTCAAAAATCAAACATAGACTTACCATATGACACACTGATTTTACTCCCAGGTATATAGACCTGAGAGATTAAAACATACATCTGCACTAAAATTTCTATGTGAAAGGTCATGTCAGCATTATTCACAATAGCCAAAGAGCAAACAAAACCCAAATGTGCAGTTCACACATGAATGGATTACACAAGGTGGTAGTAACATATGACAGAACATTCGTTAGTCATATAAAGAAATAAAGCACCACTACATGATACAGCATGGACAAACCAGGCTAATTGAAAGGAACTTGATACAAAAGGCCACATATCATGCAAGTCCATCTATATGAAATATCTGGAACAGACAAACTCATTGAGAAAAGTAGATTAGTGGTTTCCAGAGACTGCAGTAAGGGAGAGCTATCTATACAGGGGTCTCTTTGGGGGTAGGTGATGAAATTGTTCTGGAATTAAGTCACAGTGATGGCTGCACAACTTTGTTGATGTATTTATAACTAGTGACTACTATGTTTTTTAAAAGTGAGCCTTACAGTATGTGAATTACTTCTCAAATAAAAAGTTTATCTATGGTACAAACATCCACTTACCCCCAAGGCAGGCCAGATTTTGGGCTAGATACCCCACAACACCACCACCCCCTCCCATAGCCATGCCTCAGGGTACAGTGTACTCTGTGGAGAAAACACTTTCCTTTATCTGCCTCTTTTCCCACCCTCTCTCTTCATTTCTACTAAATCCCAGCTTGATAGAACCGTCTGGGGGAAGGGAAAGTAGGGCATGATTTGATTCTTTCTTGAGCCTCACACCCCGAGGAAATTACCCTTATGTTGTACTTCACTCACTGTTCTTGGCTGTCCCAGGATGGAGCCCTAAAACGGCATCTGAAAGACCAGCGTTGTCTCCTGGTGACAGTAGTATTTGACTGTATCTCACCCCTTCTGATTTTGTAGAAGGACATTATCTCTTTTGAGAGCGCAGAAGAAAAAAATTATTTTCATTTAAACACAAGGAGTGTATGTAACATATATGGGGAATGGATACACATGCAGGTTTCTGAGTCAGCTTATTCGCCTGATATCTCACCTGGGCAATTCACCACCTGTAGAAACCTGAGCTTTTATTCAACAGCTCTGTGCTTCACTTCTGTCATCTGTGCAATGGAGATAACAAAGGGATCCGCCTTAATAAACTGCTAAGGAGTAAAAGGGTGAATACCTATCCCCACTCTGTAAAAATCAAGTTTTTGATATGATTCTACCTGTGGGAACACCATGCACATGAAGGGGATAAGGATCCCGTGATAGCAGAATTAAACACGGCATTCAAAGAACACCTTTGTCTCATTTTTCTTACGGGTAGTTGACTATGGCATCCAGTCCATGAATATGAAGCTGGTATGCTAATGGGCAAGCGACAGAGAAATGTCATGATTCTGGAGCTCAGACAATTTATTTTTGATTCATATTTATATAAAAAACTAGAATGCTTCCACACCCTATGGTCTGTTTTTATCCATTGTTCTTCCCCTTGTGAGCATGTTAACACTGCAAGATAAATGAACTTCCCACTGTCCTTAAAACACAGGGAAAATTTGGGACTGGCTGCAAGGGGGCAAGGGTGGTAACAAGGAGAACAGCTATCAAGGCATAGCCTTTAGGAGAAGGCAACAGATTCTTGTTCTCTACATATTGCTGGGACCCTTGTCAGTAGTGCTTTAGACAGAACTCGAGCAATTTTCCTGGTTATACAGAATAATTACTAAGGAAATTGACAGGTTGAACAAGACCTTTCAGAACTAAAGATAGAGGGATCCCTGGGTGGCGCAGCGGTTTGGCGCCTGCCTTTGGCCCAGGGCACGATCCTGGAGACCCGGGATCGAATCCCACGTCGGGCTCCCGGTGTATGGAGCCTGCTTCTCCCTCTGCCTATGTCTCTGCCTCTCTCTCTCTCACTGTGTGCCTATCATAAATAAATAAAACAAAAAAAAAATTTAAAAAAAAAAAAAAAAAAGAACTAAAGATAGAAAATATAAACTTTGTTATGGTTTATGTGTGAAATGGGCCTTAAAGACAGCCACATCTAAGAGAAGACATTTTTTAAGGGTTGTTTCCGGATAAATGTTTCAGGGGCATGTCAGGAAGTTGGAATTGCAACTCCATCCTCATTGGTATTGGAAAGACACCTACATGCATTTCATAAGAGCCAATGACCACAGGCCCGCAGTGTTTTGCTGCAGGGGAAAAGGAAGTACAGTAATGGAATGATCATGCTTTATTCCCATAAATATTTTGAGTTGATATACATGATGGTTAGCCTGGTTAAGAAATCAAAAGTGGATTTACTTGAAATACCGACTACAACGAGTAATAGAAGGTGGCAGGAGAGTGCTATATATTCTGGAGCTCACCGTTCACCACACATAGGCTGACAAGGCTCCCTGCCCACCTCTGCTTCCTCCAGGAACACAGGTAAGTACTGCTCCAGCTTAATAACAGGAATCATTTCTGAACATATGGTAATGGTGTGTTTTCTATCCTGCATCGATCTCATTCTGTGTGACTGGGTTTTACTTATTCTGCTGGGGTAAAACTAGAACATCTTCTTCAGCTGATTTATCGTTCATCTAACTTATTTACTTCTGATTAAACAAATGCTCCCTTGGGCATCTGTGTGGTTGGGGAGAGAGTCTCTGGTACCCAGAGAACCCTGAAGGAAAAGGCAGAGAGGTGCCTAAATGGGAGCTGTCTGAATCTTTGTGTTGATATCAGTAATAAAGCACTTTCTACCTAGGCCTAGGAGTGCCAGTGAGCAATGAAAGATAAAGATGTCTTAGTACTTTTTCACAAAAGTTTTTTTAAATAGTAATTTTGATAGTCGTCTAGTTATGAAATTTACACATATACACTGAAAGAGGTTTGAAAAGTAGAAGGAAGAAAAATTTTAGTTGCCAGAATCCCACAACCCAAATATAAGTATTTCTTTTAAGAAATAATTTCATTACAAACTAATCTTTCCTTCAGGAAAGTCATGAAATGAATCTGATCCTTTCCTAGGAGTTCCAGATCGCACCAAGGTTGCCATGAATTCACTCAGTGCAGCAAACACCCGCTTTGCATTTGATCTGTTCCAACAGTTCAAAACATCAAAAAAGGGTGACAACATCTTCTTCTCGCCTCTCTCCATCTCATCAGCATTAGCCATGACCTACCTAGGTGCCAAAGAAAATACTGCACTTGAAATTGGGAAGGTAGGTGTCTACTTCCTACACAGGTCACCAGCTTAGATTGATTTCTCTGTTGGCTTGTGTGCAGATGGCCCCAGATCTGGCTGTGTAGCACAGGAGGCTGAGCAAGCATTCCCATGACTGGGTGAGCACAGAGCTTTGGGGGGGGGGGCACATGCCCTCCCCAGGGCTCTGCTCCATTCACTTCCCTGGACCTAGATTTCCTCTGATAGCCCAGATGAACTCCCACAATTGCACAACAAACAGAGGCAAGGCTTAAAGGGAAGAGTAATGGCAGAAGTGACATGCTGACTTAAATTCATGCAAAACATTTCATGTTTTCTCATCAATGAATAATGACACAGGATTCTCTGAAGTGCCTTTGCTGTGGCTTTTCAAGGAGCAAATGCTTGCAATGAAGTTTTCTATTCTCTTTTTCCTTTGTTTAGTGGTTTGGTTTGGTTTGGATTTGGGTTTGCGTTTGGGGTTGGGAGTTTTGTTTTGTTTGGATTTGGGTTCTTTCTTTCTTTTACTTTTTTCTTAATTTATTTCCAGATCTTTTGAGTAGGTTTCTTATCCCGCTTCCTGTCTCTTCCAGGTCCTTCACTTTAATGAAGCCACAGAGAGCACAACAGGAAGAGCTACAACAGATCATGTGAGTCACAGAGCACTTGAGTCTAGAAGGAGAATCGCATATCCAGGAGGCTCATATTTTAAGCTAGGCATTTCAGATAAACTGTGAAAAGTCCGTTTTTAGGGAAATTCTTAGGTAAAAGAGACTGGACAGAGTTGCATCTCGTTTCATATTACATTCTTATTTATTTCATACTTTTGTCTCCTGAGGGGAGATCAGCACTGTGCCAAAAGAGCTTCAAATTCCTGCTCTGCTGTTAACCAATGGGGAACATGAGCAAGACACAACTGTTCTAAGGCACCATGACCTCATCCCAGGAAGCTGGGAGTAATAAAATAATCTGCTTCAATGCATATAAACAGATGGAAAACATTACAACAGTGCCTCGATTACTGGAAACTGATAAATTTTATGCATTACTATTGCAGAGTAACAATAATTACAGTAATCACAATACTTTTGCTAAAATAATATAATTTTAATTAATTCATTAATGGACTAAACAGGAATAAGCATGCCTCCAAGCATATTTTGGGAAATGATTAGATGAGATACAGAGTTTATAAACTTAAGGTCCAAAACTCTTGGCTAGCAAGTAGAAGGTTCTGGATTCAGACAGGCCTAGGTTCAAAATTTGGCTGTGCCACCTGCGTCTCTTTGGAAAGTCTATTTAATTCTGAGTTTCTTGTTTTCATCTGAATAGGGATAAAGAGAGATACAAATGTAAAGCCCTTACCAGGCACATACTATTCCTACACTTAGAATATGACCACCATAGGGCACCTGGGTGGTTCAGTGGTTGAGCATCTGCCTTTGGCTCCCTGGGTCCTGGGATCAATTCCCACAGGGGGTTCCCTGCAAGGAGCCTGCTTCTCCCTCTGCCTATGTCTCTGCCTCTCTCTGTGTGTCACTCATGAATAAATAAATTTAAAAAAAAGAGAGAGAGTATGACTATCATGAGTGAAGAGCCATTGATCATAGTCAACAGGTCTTAGAAGAAATACAATCTAGTAGTGTAAAGGGCTCCATGTCATAATATAACTGAAATAAACAAATTCAACATTATTATATGACTGATAGCTATTAAAATGAAATGTGCCTCTAGCCCTTAAGAAGCCTAAATTTAGCTGGGGAGTTTTTACCTAACCCATTTGTACCAATTAGAAGATAATCCAATGGTGGAATGGTGCTACATCTATAGTTCATAAGTGAAAATTTTGGATTACTTACTCAGAGCAGAAAGAAATTTCCTGAAGGAGACTGAATTATAAGGATCTTAAAGAATATTTAAGTAAATCCACCTAAAATCAAGGAATAACAATAAATGTCACCTGCAGGACTATCAAAGTATAGCTTTGGGTCTAACAGTTTACATGGGGCTAGTATTCATATTTACATTGACAGAGAATGCAATGAGCTTACTTTTTAATATTTGAAGGTTGAAAAGACGGAAAATATACACCACCAATTTCAAAAGCTTCTGACCGAATTAAAGAAACCCACTGATGTATATGAACTGAATATGGCCAACAAGCTCTATGGAGAAAAAAAATATCAATTTCTTCAAGTAAGTTTCACTTGGCTTGTTATACCTTTAACCTGAATCCCAGGTCCTTAAATGAAATATCCTAGAACTTGACAACCCACCAATATAAAGTCCGGTTTTAGGGATCATGTCATCAACCCAAAAGAGATTCAGTAGCAAAGGAAGTCATGAGATGCCCCAATGATCTGATACCATTCAGTCACATAGTGTAAATTTTGGTGGACAATGACCCATGAAATGTATGACTAATGGGATACTGATGAGAGTGCAGGCTTGGTGAGTTCTAAGGGAAGTTGAAGAAGTACCAGGGGTACACTGAATGCCCAGAATGGAAGATATAAGCAAAAGCAAGAACCCTAAGGTTTGATAGTACTGCTTAGGAGTCCCAGAAACACACCATCTCCTTTGGAGCATCATGCTTTGCAGTTTGCAACCCAGAGCCTCTTCTGACCCAGCCTATGTCCAGAAGTTATTGCCTTTCAAAGACCTCACTGTTGTGCCAGCCTGTACTTGCATTTCAAATTACCCACATGTGAACTGTATAAAATACGCATGGGCAAGAAAAAGTAGATTTCTCAGGGCCTAGATTCCTGTACTGTATTTTGTCAAGACTGAAGATAACTAACTTGGGAATACGTAATTACTGATGAATTACTCTTAATTCCTCCTTTCTTCCTTCTCCGTCAAAGGAATACATGGATAACATTAAGAAATTTTACCTAGCCAGTGTGGAATCTGTTGATTTTAACAATGCTGCAGAAGAAAGTCGTAAGATGATAAATTCCTGGGTGGAAAGCCAAACTAATGGTAAAGTATGAGAGATTGCCCATAAAAATCACTCTTTTTGAGTCCCTGCTGTGTGTGAAATCTGTTCTTGACAGCATCTGGGGTGCCAGTGGGGTGGGGGTGATGGCTTTGCAGAGAGGCTGGAGGAGAGCATTGCAGATGATGGAATGGTCCAGGTAAAGGTGAAAAGCAACAAAAGGAATTTCTGTATGACAGAAAGATAATTACAATGAAATACAGCTGGCAATTGGTGTTTGCTCATGATCACAGACGACAGTACCTTCATGGATCCCAAGTCTCTGCTCCAACCCCATCTTGGGTTCACATCCTTTAAATTCTCAAAGTGCAGAATAGAGAAGAAGACACCCCAGACAGTAATATCTGACAGCACAGGGCATGTGTTTCGGGTTATAGAGTTCATGCCATTTGTCCTCAAGAACAATCAAGCCCTATTTCTTCAGAGTATTAAGCCCAACATTGAAAAAATAGAAAGGGTGGGAGGAATGAAGAATGGGGGGTGTGGTTGGAAGAATTCAGGGAGGGAAGGAAGCTAGGAATGGAGGTGCTTCAAGAGTAGCTGAAATCCATATTCCGTGTGAGATGACTGAAGTCACCCAAAGACAATGAATCTGAACACCTTTCCCATAACAAGATGGGGTATCTCCAGCAAGGATAACTCCATCAGGCTGGCATCACAAGGAAAGCTGCAACTCAAAAATTATTGCTCACAGTCCCTAAAGTAGTGACTTGCCCGAATGATCCACTGTAACTTTCAAAGCATCTTCCAGACAAACCACTTGTACTTTCACAGAAGACCTTTGATTTTTTTTTCCTTTTGCAGAAAAAATCAAGGATATGTTTCCCAAAGACTCTCTTAACCATACCATTCTGGTTCTGGTGAACGCAGTCTATTTTAAAGGACAGTGGGACACCAAATTTGATACAAAAAACACAGTGGAGAAAGAATTCTGGCTGGACAAGGTATTGTAATTTCTTTATAATATGTAACACACTCATACATGGAATGTTAAATTTAAACTCATATCTAATAGCACATGCAATGGCAGGGAAAAAATGAATTTGTCATGGTTGTATTTTCTTCCTGTTTTATTTTTTTACTTTAGATAAAAATACTTGAAGAAACTCTTGCTTCCAATTCACAAATTTCACATATCATCCCTTAGAAAGAGGATGTGTTTGGTATCTCAATAGTATTATCTTCTTTTTAACTAATGCCTCACTTGGCATTTGTCTGCCACGTTAATTACTGCAGGACACAAGCAAACCTGTGCAGATGATGAGACAATCTAACGTTTTTAATTTCACCTCACTGGAGGACTTGCAAGCCAAGATCCTAGAAATACCATACAAAGGCAAAGATCTAAGCATGATGTTGCTGCTGCCACACGAAGTAGATGGTCTGCAGAAGGTAAAATCTTATGTCTCCAATTCTTTCTACTATTGCCTGATTTCCTAGTAGTACAATCCTTATATGGGCTGTTCATTGAAGCAATGCTCACAGATTGGTGGTGGTGGCTGACTGAGTTCAAGTACAGAGTACTTCTCTGCATACAGCCTAAAAAAGAACTTTTTAAGTAGAATCTGGTATTCTGTGTGTTCCAAAAAGTAAATATCCTAAATAACACAGTGTCATATGGAATATATAGAAAATCTCAACATCAAGGGTCCCATTAATATTCTGATGAAACTATGGAATGTCAGTTCAAAAGAAACATACTTAGGCACACACATTAATATTTTGCAACCATAAGAACTTCTAATATATTCCAGTCTATTCATTAGAAGACAAGGAAATGAACACTCATATGAAGGTGACACATAGAAATATTTGTAAGCTCACTCATAAACAAAACAAGTAAATTAACATAATGAAAGGTACATTTTAAATATCAAATCACAGTGGTTTTGTAGACAATGGACCAAGAGATTTATTTTGATGCTTACTTTTCAATTTGGAAGTATTCAATCCCTAGGAGCTCAAAAGTCCTTTGGGAGCCTCATTGCTCAGAATCAAAAATAAATAAATAAAATTAAGATGTGGGGGGATTATAATTTTCCTCTTAAAATTGTTATAGTGAAGGTAATACTTAGAAATATCTAGAAGAGTATCTGGCACATTGAGGACATTCCAAACATGGCAGCTTTCCAATGACTCCAATAGCTTGCCGTGCTGTTGAAGCCACAGGGAACTTGCTGCACACAAAATAGCTATCATGCTAACACTGGGATTTGGAGATCCTCAGGGAAGGTAACATGACAACACACGTGAAGGGCCATAATATGTCAGACTTCAGCTCAGCAATTCCCCTTATCAATGACATAAGGACTCCCAGTCCTGGGACTTTAACTAAGGTAAGCAATCCAAACAAGGCAAAGGCTTTTAGATAGAAGTGGCTCAAGACATTGAAAATTTTGGTGCATCTTTGTATTATCAATAGTTTAACTTGGGGCTGACACGTAGTGAATGCTTAAAAATATTAATTAAGTAAAGATATATACGTTGAATATCAATTTAGATACTGTGTAATAATTTAAACTTGATTAGAGAAATATATACCTATATGAGAAATGTTTACAAATAAGTAAAGCAAGAAAAAGGAATAAAAGTTGTACCTACACTATAAAAATTATTTCAATTAGAGTATACAAAATTATGTACACAAGGATAGTAACAAGAGAAGTCTATTTGAAAATGAAGCATATCATACATATGGAAGGTCTGGAGGTCTGGAACTATGTAGAGTATAAAAAACAGAGATACATAGTTCATCTCTTACAAAATAACTATTTAATAATTCTGTTATGTATATATACACATACATATCCATATATATACATGTATAGATATTTATGCATATATGTACATAAATATAACACAGTCCTGAATACATAGTATGTTTTTCGACTGTATAATATATATTCACGACTGTTATTTTTGACTGCTCAGACAAGATGTGATAAACTGAATCTTCTGCATTTACATTTACTGTTTAAATAAAAGTTTTCTACAATTCAATCTAATGTTAAATCGTGCTTAATATCCTTGAGAATCATGTCAGCTATTCCCTTTTTCCACTGCTGCAGCTTGAAGATCAACTCACTGCTGAGAAACTAATAGAGTGGACGAGCTCACAGAATATGAGCAATGGGCAGGTGGATTTACACTTACCCCGGTTCAAAGTAGAAGAGAGTTATGAGCTCAAGGCCACGCTGAAAGCCCTGGGAATGGTGGATGCCTTCAACACAAAGAGTGCCAACTTCTCAGGCATGACAGGGAGGCAGGATCTTGTGGTGTCTAAAGTCAGGCACAAGTCCTTTGTGGAGGTCACCGAAGAGGGCACGGAGGCTGCAGCCTCCACAGACGTAGAAGTTATTGCCAAATCAGCACCAACCTATCCTTTTCATTGCGATCACCCTTTCCTGTTCTTCATCAAGCACAATAAGACCAACAGCATCCTCTTCTTGGGCAGAGTCTCTTCCCCTTAGATGCAATTAGCCTGCCTCTATTGAGGAGGAAATTCACATTTGTTCCAGTACATGCACTGCGAGAAACAACAGATTCTCTTTAGTTTTTTTTCCTTTCCAATCTCACAGTCATCACTAAGAATATAATGGTTGAAATGGAAATAGCCTGTCTGTCTCTCTCCTTCTACAAACATGTAAACCTACTTCATCTCCCAGTGAAAATTCCCCTTTGGACAAATGTTGAACATAAGATAAAATATCTTAAAAAAGATATTTTAAAACTCTATCTTCTAACTAAATTTGAAATCATATCTCCTATTTCAGAAATCATATCTATTATTCAAACTTATTAACTTAGATATCCACATTTATTTGAATTTAGGTGATAATCTGGAACACTTTCATGTCTAAATTCCTTTTATTTTATGAAATACATTATCAATAAAGTAATTATTTATTCATATTATTTGCTGCTTTTCCTTTTTTCTCTTTTCAACAAAGTACAAGCAGCCCACCACACATAGGAAAGATAATTTAGAAATACATTATCATATAGAAAGAGCATTCAAAGCAGAAGATCATAAGGCTGACGGTAGGTTGGTACCAAACTTTGAAAGTTTCTATTAACCATGTTAACCGCTTTCTAATTTATTCTAAAATAAATCAAAAGCCATTATAGATCTCATCTTTTTGTTTTCCAAAGAGAAGAATGAGATCATCATATCTGCAATTTTAAAATACACCTCTGGCTATTAAGACATAAACAGATGAGAAGAAAGAACATTGTAGATACAGTGAGATTAACTAGTAAGCCATCAGAATGTCCAGAGTAGAACTAAGAAATTGAAATAAAAAACTGAATTCTTTTGGATTAAAGTTTTTGATCACTGCTGAATTACATGTAGGAAATAAAATTCATGATACACTTAGCACTTGTACATACTATCAAGTGCTGTGCAAGGTGAAAATAAAGATACAATTCCAGGGGCGACTGGATAGCTCCACTGATTGAGCATCCAAGTCTTGATGTTAGCTCAGATTTGTAAGAATTATTCAGGAAGTAAAATACACACGATTATAGCAACACATTATATATATGACAGAAATGAGAGACAGAAGCCAAAAATGATATACAATTTTCTGGCCTACCCAATGGGTTGGATAAAAAAAAAAGATTCTGTTTTGGAGAGAGGAAAAGATCCTGGGTTTAGGTTTATATTTGTTGAAGTTTAATTACTTTTGAGACATCCAGATAGTTATCCAATAAGCACTTGAATATACAAGTCTAGAGTTCAGATGCAGGATATGATCTGAAGCTCTAAATATGTCATGCTCCAAAGACCCCACCAAAAAAGGAGAATTACAGATCAATATCCCTGATGAACATGGATGCAAAAATTCTCACCAAAATATTAGAGAGTGGGATCCAACAGTACATTAAAAGGATTACTCACCACAACCAAGTGGGATTGATTCCTGGGATGCAAGAGTGGGTCAATATCCACAAATCAATCAATGTGATGTACTACATTAATAAAAGAAAGTACAAGGACCATATGATCTTCTCAATAGATGCAGAAAAAGCATCTGACAAACTATAGCAACCTTTCTTGATCAAAACTCTTCACAGTGTAGGGATAGAGGAAATATACCTCAATATCATAAAAACCATGTATGAAAAGCCCATGGCGAATATAATTCTTGATGGGAAGAAACAGAGAGCTTTTCCCCTAAGGTCAGGAACATGCAGGGATGTCCACTATCACCACTGTTGTTCAACACAGTACTAGAAGTCCTAGCGCCAGCAATCAGTCAACACAAAGATGTGAAAGGCACCTGAATCTGCAAAGAAGTCAAACTCTCCACTCTTTGCAGACAACATGATACTCTAAAATGAAACCCAAAAAAAGACTCCACCCCAAAATTGTTATAACTCATACAGGAATGCAGCAAAGTGGCAGGATATAAAATCAATGCACAGAAATCAGCTTCATTTCTATACACTAACAATGAGACAGAAGAGAGAGAAATTAAGGAGTCAATCTCATTTATAATTACAACCAAAACCATAATATACCTAGGAATAAATCGAATCAAAGAAGGAAAGCATCTGTAGTCAGAAAACTATAGAACATTCATGAAAGAAACTGAGGAAAACATAAAGAAATAAAACATTCCATGTTCATGAATTGGAAAAACAAATATTGTTAAAAATCTCTCTGCTACCTAGAGCAATCTACACATTCAATACAATTCCTATCAAAATACCACCAACTTATTTCACAGAGTTGGAAAAAATAATCCTAAAATTTGTGTGGAACCAGAAAAGACCCCAAATAGCCCAAAGAATGTTAAAAAAGAAAACCAAAATGAGTGGCATCACAATTCCGGAATTCAAGCTCTATTACAAAGCTGTAAGTATCAAGACAGTGTGGTACTGGCATAAAAACAGACACACAGATCAATGGAACAGAACAGAGAACTCAGAAATGAGCCCTCAAGTCTATGATCAAATATTTGACAAAGGAGGAAAGAATATCCAATAGAAAAAGATAAGTCTCTTCAACAAATGGTGTTGGGAAAATTGGACAGCTAGATGCAGAAGAATGAAACTGGACAATTTCCTCACATCATACACAAAAATATACTCAAAATGGATAAAAGACCTAAATGTGAGACAGGAATCCATCAAAATCCTAGGCAAGAACACAGGCAGCAACATCTTTGACCTCAGTCTCAGCAACTTCTTGACAGACACATCTCCAAAGGCAAAGGAATTAAAAGCAAAAATGAACCACTGGGACTTCATCAGGCTAAAAAGCTTTTGCAAAAGAAAAGGCTTTATCGACAAAACCAAAAGGGAATCAACAGAATAGGAGAAGATATTTGCAAATGACATATCAGATAAAGGGCTAATATCCAAAATCCACAAAGAACTTATCAAACTCAACACCCCAAGAACAAATAATCCAATCAGGAAATGGGCAGAAGACATAAATAGACATTTCTCCAAAAAGACATACAAATGGCCAACAGGAACATGAAAAATGCTCAACATCACTTGGCATCAGGGAAAAACAAATCAAAACCAACAGTGAGATATCATCTCATACCAGTCAGAATGGTTAAAATAAACAAGTCAGGAAACGACAGATGTTGGCAAGGATGTGGAGAAAGGGGAACCCTCTAACACTGTTGGTGGGAATGCAAGCTGGTGCAGTCACTTTTGAAAACAGTATGGAGGTTTCTCAGAAAATGGAAAATAGAACTACTCTATGACTCAGCAGTTCCACTACTGAGTATTTACCCCAAACATACAAATGTAGTGATCTGAAGGGACACCTGTACCCCAATGTTTATAGCAGCAATGTCCACAACAGCCAAACTATGGAAAGAGCCCAGATGTCCATCAACAGATGAATGGATAAAGAAAATGTGGTTTGTGTACACACACACACACACACACACACACATACATACACACAATGGACTACTACTCGGCCATCAAAAAAAAAATGAAATCTTGCCATTTGCAGTAATGTGGATAGAACTAGAGGATATTATGCTAAGCAAAATAAGTCAATCAGATAAAGGCAATTATCATATGATCTCACTCATATGTGGAATTTAAAAAACAAAACAGGATCATAGGGGAAAAGAGAAAAAATAAAACAAGATGAAATCAGAGAGGGAGACAAACCATAAGAGACTCTTAATCATAGGAAACAAACTGAGGGTCACTGGAAGGGGGGAGTGGAAGGATGGGGTAACTGGGTGAGGGGTATTAAGGAAGGCATGTGATGCCATGAGCACTGGGTATTATATAAAACTGATGAATCACTAAACTCTACCTCCGAAACATTATATGTTAATTAACTGAATTTCAGTAAAATTTAAAAATAAATAAATAAAAAGAAAAAACAAAAGAAAATAAATATGTTATGCTCAACATGAAAGTGTTACCATGTTTATTCAGGAACTCTAAAACACGGCTAAAAAAAATGGTAGCTAAAGGCAAGAATAGATCCTAGGGAGAGAGTATATTATAAAGTGATAAAAAAGGAGGGCCTAGAATGGACTTCAAAGTGTATCAATATACAAACACCAAGTGTTGACAATTTTTAGTTTCTAGAACACAGCTTTGCTTAAGGGACTGTATTCATTCCAAATCCTTCTCAGTCAGTACTGAATCCCTGCTGATTTCATAAAACATGAATTTTGGAGGATCTGAACAAGGTCTCAATTTTCTTCAGCACAATTCAGGAACCTAAGAACAGAGCAGAGGAAGTAAATATTTCACCATAGAAGTATAGAGACTTGGTCAAGGGAACTCATGGACCGGCAAGCCAGTGGGTAACATTATAAACCATGCGGTGAACAGGCCAGACAGGGAAGGCAAGTGGGAGGCAGTTGCCTTGATGAACACAGAGGCACTGGGATACCTAAAGAGGTTGAAGAATAGAAATGAGAGGAAGGAGTTTGTGAGGTATCTAAAAAGATCAGAAGTTTGGCCCAGGACCAGGGATTTTGAGGCGCATTTTAAAAGAAAATTGTAGGCAGTAAATAAACTTAGAGTGTCACCATGAGTGTGAACTAGTTTCTAATGATTTAATTAAGTTGAAACTGGCATAGCATTCTGGGGGGTTTAAAGAATTGACTGTCAGAATGCCTTTAGACACAACTTTCAACTACTTGTTATTTTATTTGGGTTTCCTTTTTTTAAGATTCTATTTATTTATTCATGAGAGACACAGAGAGAGAGAGGCAGAGACACAGGCAGAGGGAGAAGCAGTCTCCATGCAGGGAGCCTGATGAGGGACTTGATCCCGGGACTCCAGGATCACGACCTGAGCTGAAGTCAGACGCTTAACCGCTGTGCCACCCAGGCGTCCCTCAAAAGGAACTCTATAAAAGCAAACAGGTTAAGACAAAGGCTCATAGGCATTAGAGTCATATCTAGTTGTGAGAACTAAAGAGCTTTGCCTATATTCTAGGCCAGTCAGAGAACCAACTACCCTGCACTGTGGCCATATATAGAGAAACTGATACACTGAAATATTGTATCTTTAAAGCAATGCATTCCATTCATTGAATAAAACAGAATATAATGAGTCCATACTGATATAAAATAAATGGCTAAATTAAAAGTTTTATAAGGAATGGATATTTACATGCTTTCAAGGATCCTCCCCTACAGAATATACCACTTTACCCCTAGTAGAATAGCCAAAAGTT